CTGGTATTATACACAGCAGCATGGGTGAATCTCTGAATTAATATTAAAAATTAAATCTTAAACTAAAATCAGTATAAAGATTATAAGTATAGTAAACCCCACAGTATATCATTTATGCAAATTAAACAGATGCATATACAAAAATAGCACCATGTATGTTTCAAGCAATCACACATATCCAAAGGTATCTATAAGCATAAACACAATAAAATGGTGCCTATGAGGATGAGCCTGGTAAACAGAGTTAAAATGGAGAATGAATGGCAAGACAAAATTTTTTCCAAAGACATTTTTGCATGGACAGTTGAGCAATATAGTGTGCAATCAGTGTTTTGTACATATAAAGATTTCAATAAATAATAGATTTTCAGTTGCAATTGAAAATCTGTTTGGAACTATGGTGGCAAGGGGTGAATGCAATCACAAGGGAAGTTTGAAAAAATTATTATTTTGCAACTGGAAATTATTATGAGATGAAAGGTTTAGAGGTTCTTTTTGGAATTAAGAGAAAAGAAATAGAATAATCTCTATCATACTAAATAGAGTAGCCCTTGAAAGCAGAAGGACATGTAGTTTGCTTGGGGTTTCTATTTCAAGGTTCCCTTTCCTTTTTTGGTGTTTTCTGTTCTAGGACATCTTTCCTTCAACAAACCTTTACCTCTGACAGCCTGGTTATCTTTGCTTTTTGACTATCCTTGGCCATGAAGAACTACAGCATTTGTTTTCCTACACAATTAAAGAATTTTGATTTTAGTTCAATCTAAAAAATAAAGGTAGTAAGAACCAACTCATAATTTGTTTCCTCAATCTAGAACTCTGCTCCACAGCCTTTTCCAAATTTTAAGTCAAATATGTTTGTTTTTTAGTGAAAATGCTCATTTTATTATGACTACCAAATGTATATATTAATTTTTATATCCAAATTGTGTCAGGTCATTTTGTACCCTGGCTGTGTAGGGGAGAAATGCCCTCCACAGTGAAGTTGATAAACTGAGCAGTATCCTTACTGAGCTTCAGAATCTCATTTAGCTGGGCTCTGCAAATGATCTGAATGAAAGCCAAAGGTTCTCTTTTGAAAAGGAACATGAACTTTGAATGAGATCAACAAAGGCTAGGCTTCTTTGGTGATGAAGTAGGCCTAAAGTGTGGAAGGTAATCACTAAATATTTACTGAATTGAATGCATCAGAAAAGTGAACAGGCTAGAGAGAAGGTAAGTCAGAAAAAAGTACCAAGAAGAAAGAGATTCACAGTCCAGGCATTTAGTAAGGAGAGGGAGAAACTTTCCAAGGCAGAGAGGAAGATATCCTCCTTACTCAGGAGTCAGTACCTGAAGAAGGCAAAGTAGTTTATCATAAAATTGCTGCGAGCCCAATATCTATAGAGAAGACTAGCAAATGTATTTTAGAGAATTAAGATTCACAGTAGAAATGTCTACCAAACTACATATTAAACATGCCTGAACACTTGAGTTTACATTTCAGGCAGCAATAAGACAAGAGAGGGGAGTAAGGAACACAAGGACATCATTATATACTTTAGAATTCACTAATAGTATAAATACTGACAAAAATCTAATCTCAAATATATTTAGAAAATGAGTTTTAATTCTGAAAAATGAAAACTACTACTTTGTGAATTACTTTGAAGACTGAATAAGCAAGTATATGAAAAGAATCTAAAACATGCTTAACATTATGAATTCTTTATTGTTGTCATAACTAGAAGTATCAACATTGTAGTTTATTTGTCCAATAAGGTATCAGTCAACTCAATATTAGTCTTGAATTATAACTTCTTTGTTTTTGTATTTTCTTCATTACATGCTTTTTTACCTCATAATGTTCTTTTAATTTCTAACTTTGTCTTAGCAGCACTAAGGAGGAAAAAGGACCATTCTGTGCTCAGTCCAGAGTAGCTAAATCCTCTGAATGGCTCTCATCCGGCCAGCTACATCCAGGAACTCAGAAGAACAGAAGAGCCATAGTAGAAGCAAAGAAGGAGCAGGAGACAATTCAGGCTTGAGTATGAAATTTCCCTTACAATGACTCCATACAAGAGATGGACTATAGCACACTGAAATGGATTTAGGGCACCTTCTCAATGAAAGACAAGACCCCCTCAATTCTATTCACTCCTTTAAATAATATTTGAGAGGACAGTAGTAAGAATGTTTCTTCCTGAAGATTACTGGTTTGTAAAATGCATACTTTTAACAGTCCAGAAAGTTAGTTATGCTATTAAAACTTTTTTTAATGAGAAAAATAAGATCTGTTACAAACAAAACATTAATACTGATACTTACCAGTAGACACAATAGTGCTAACAAGCAGTACAGCTTATCACTGCTAAATCAAATTTTCAAAGAAACTTCATTCTGGTCAAACGTGTTAGATCATGAACCAAAAGCATTAAATGTGTTTGAGTTAGTACTGAAGTCATTTTCATCTTCAGGAGGTTTTGACTCTGACAGAAACAGTTCTCATTCTCTCCCGGGCAGTTTAAACTCTTTGATCAAATGTAGTTTTGATGTTACCTCATTAGTTAGCAGGTCAGCAGACTATTTTGGATCAAATTGATAAAGTAGAGGACAGGGCAGGCCAGGAGTAGAGGAGAACAGGGGAAAGGCTGAGTTTCACTTCTGATTTTTGGCCCAAGGGTTCATGCTGAGGAAATTGTTTGCAAGGGTTTAGCGCAATCTCAGTTCCACAATCCCAGACAGAAAATAAGATTTCTCTAGGAAAAACATGTCTTCCCTCATGAAGCTGTGTGTGAAGGTAAAGCCAGGGAACGCAGTAGGGTAAAGTAGGGTGGCCCAAGGAGAAAATGGAGAGGGAATTGCCTAAGTGTGCAGGGCATCGGTTTGGTTTGGTTTGTTTGTTTGCTTAAGAGGTCCGCTTAGAGACAAGCTAAAAGATACTTGCATTGACTGGTGATAGGGAGCCCGTGAGGTGCTGATGAGCTGTACATAGGAGAATGAGGTGAGAGGCAAAGCGAGTCTGGAGATGAACAAAGGCGCTGTTTTGTAAGGTCAGGACGCAATTTGAAGCCGCTGGGGCTTGCCAGGTGGGAGGCGAGCGGGACTGAGCCCGACGGCCCCACCCCCCGGAGCCCCGCCCCCGCCGCGCGGACCAATGAGAAGCCGGGATGTTAGTGGGTGGGAGGTGCGGCCGGGTTGCTACAGCCAGAGCTGGGCGGTGGCGGCGGGCGCTGCCGGCGGAGTCTAGCAGAGCCTGAGGCTGTGGCGCAATGGAGGGGCTGGAAGGTGAGGAGGAGAAGGGATGCGGGCCTGGCGGCTACCACGGGTCCTGAACGCCAATCTTGGCGGGGGGGGACAGGGGATGCGAGGGCAGGCCCGGCGGCGGACTCTCCTGCGGAGGCCCGGGCGGGCAGGAGCCGGGCGGCTCCCGGGCAGCCCCGCCCCCGGCGGTCTGCGGCGGGGCTCCCAGCCGGGCGACTTCAAGCCTCCTGTTTTCTGGGCCTCCTGACTCCCGGACTTCCTCCGGAGAATCACGCACTTTGGTCAGGTTTTCTTTTCCGTGCAAACAGAATTCTCCGTTAAATGACCACGGCCTTCCATCGGCAGCCTTTGTAGGTTGCCCTCCAGGAGAGAGCGCCCGACTCCGTCCTTGGCCACTTTCCCTGGGCAGCCGTCTTCCCTTTTTACAGCATCTTGCATGGAAGAGATGCCAGCGCATCTCCTAAGGAAGTGTCTGCCATTGGCCAGCTTTGCAGCCGGGACAATAGATGGCCAGATGTGTTTAATGTTTTATTCACAAGGGCTGTGTAAAAGAGCTAGTATTTCTTCCTTATCTTTGGATTTTATCCTGGTGTTGTAACCAGAACTCCAGATTTTGCTTTGTTCCCAGTTCCTTCACTTTTCCCCTATTCTCTTTACCCATTTTGTCCTATGCAGGGACAACATTCGCTTAAAAACAAAAGAAGGGGAAAAAACCAACTATCATTAGCAACAACATTGTCAAGATTATTTTTTAATTGAAGTTAATCCTTCAGATGAGGAACAGACCTTCAGATTTGAAAGATCCTGTTCTCTAGATTTAACTCTTTTTCCCTCCTAGCTTGCATTGATTCAGGTGGAATTCAGAATGAGCACAGGCATTTAAGCACGGGGCTTTGTTGCATGATACACAGTAAAATAGTTCAGATTGTGTTATGAAGTAAAAAGTGATAATTGGTAACTTTTTCAGTGATCTAAGCCTACCAGAAAGCAAATGCAATAACAGGAGTATGAGTTTATGTCATATTTTTGCTTTGAGGTAAAACAACTTAAAAGATGACAGATAAAAAAATTTTGATAATTTTTCATATGTGGGAAAATACAAGGTGGTAGTTCTTCTGAAGGTCTTGTTTGTTTATTTATTTTAGGAGTATCGTTCAAGTTTTCATGAAATGAGGAATCGTAATGGTAATACTTCCTTTTAAGAAACTCTGGTTTAAGGGACTCTGGAGGCAGCTGGTCTTTTATTTTAATTACTTTAAAATATGTATGGTAGTATAGCAAGGTGGAGCATGGGTTCTAGAATTCTCACAGGGTTTTCATAATACACAAAAGTGCTTTAGAACAGCTTTTCTGAAGATTTTACTTTTGTGTGTGTGGGGGGCTTGAACTCAGGGCCTATACCTTCAGCCACTCCACCAGCCCTTTTTTGTGATGGATTTTTTAAGGTAGGGTCTCTCATACGATTTGTCTGGGCTGGCTTCAAATGTGATCCTCCTGATCTCTGCCTCCTGCGTAGCTAAGATTAGAGGCGTGAGCTACCAGTGCCTGGCCAGATTTTACTATTTTTTCAACATTTTTAGTGAAAGCTATGATCTTAATCTAATTTTTCAGTTACATACATATTCTAATTACTTTTCTGTCCTGAAGATGCAACAAAGAATAAAAAAAATCAAAGACCTACCCATTTTAGTAGTTACAACTTAAGTGTGCTGACGTTTCTATTGAAACCTTACTAAGAATGTGTTTAAAAGATAATGGAAACCAATTATAATATTCAATTACATGGGTGGACAACACACAAATTCTGATGTAATATGGATATGGACATGTTTTAAGGACCCAGTTTATGTCGTATCATGGTAAGGAGTATTGGCTCTTTAGTCTTTGACTTTTTTTCTAACAAAATGATAATGCTATCATTAACTGATGTTTTTAATTGTAATGAATTATGTTGAAATATATGAAAATTGTCCTATTTCTGGAAAACAGAATATTGGCAGTTGAATATTGGCAGTTTGAAGTGGTCAACCTAATAAAAAGCCCTGAGAGGTTTCTGTTGAATTGTGAATAGGGCCTTTCTCACTTCCCACCTTCCCACTCCCCTTCCTCCATTTTAAAATCAGTTCCTATTACATCACATTTTGCAGAGATCAAAACTTTGAATCTTAGTTGCTATTCACCAATCATTCATCTATGCCTTCATGTAATGAACATTGGAACAGTGATAAGTTAGTTTCTTCCTTATATTGGAAGTTTAAAGTCAAATTCTTTGACGGTGTCTGGTATACATTACAGGATTTAGTATGAAATCTTCATGTTTGTTTAATGTGTCTTACTAGTTTGAACAAATAAATTATTCTTAATCTTTTGGGACTTTTATGCTCCCTGTCAGAGATGAGCTATTAGACTGAACACTATTTTGAAACCAAATGTAACTTACTGCTCATAATTTTGTGTAATTGATAACTGAGCATGGTTTGAGTGGTTAAAGCAAAACCTTTAATTCCTTTTCTCCTAAAGGATGTACACTATGATGTATCTAAGGACAGCAGAAGTAGTTCTAGATTTGGGAGCGTTCCAATCTCCTACAAGTTTTATCATTTGTAAAATTAAGAGGTAATAAAATTTAAGCAAATTTTATCCATATATAGTGTGGTCATTGTCTTCATAATATGCTTATGTGTGGCTATAACAAATATGGCAGAGATGAGGTCTCTTTCTCTTTTGGACTGCTGAAATTATTGTATCTTAGTATTGCCTTCTGAAACTTGATTAGGAGTGGAATTGCTTTTCTCCAATGTAGAATTTGATCTAGTTGTGGACAGCCATCACATCTAATTAATGTTTCTGTTTTTTCTTGGCATAAGCATATAACATTTTAGTGAATAATTCTTCATTGTTTTTCATTTAGCTATCATTCATTGATTTTTGGTACTCAATGGGTACCAAATATTGTAATTGTCAGTGTGTTTAAATCTTTGCTTTGTTTCTTTTTTAACTCTATGGTTTGGGCATTTTACTTAATGAGGACCTCAGTTTTCTCAGCTGTAAGAAGGTTATTAAACATGAATGCGCCTTAACTCTATAAAGTATTAAATGATGTAATATGCACAGCATTTAGCTGAGTGCCTAATACATTGAAGCTTATGTTTATTGGGTGAATAAAATCATAGGAGCCATATGTGCTTAAGAATAGTCCAGTGTAGGTAAACATAGCATGTGATCCATCCTGGGCCACACTAGGTCCTAAGAAACTATGGCCCAGTACAGACTGGAAAAGAAAGAGACTGAGAATATATACATTGATAAGGATTAGAATAAGGAAAGATGGGGAATATGACTGCTTGATATGAGAGGAGAAAAGGAACCAAAGATAAGCCTAGTTTTGACTGGAAGGTACTATCTTTAAAAGGAAGATTAAGTTTAGGGGATGAGGTAAATGTGTTTGTATAATCGTTGGGAGTATCTGATGGAAAAGTCTCACAGTTAATTGGAAATTCCTACCTACCTGCAGTTTTTAATAATTATCAGCATATAAATGTCAAGAAATGGGCATAATCACCCATTTAACAAAATGAAGAAACAAATTAGAAAGAAACATGTTTTAGGGTTGAGCAAAATAGGAAATCAGGATGGGGAGATTCTTTAAAGAAATTTAAAAAATTGTCAAGATAGGAATGTGGGAAGAAACTAGTATTTCTGGAGTAGCAAATGTATACTAGAAAAAGCCTATAGCATCTGATATATCTAGGTAGGACGTCTGTGTACTAGCCTGGCTGCTTCACTTGTGAGACCTGGAGAATGTAGGCTTAAAATAAAGAAATATCATAGAAGTCAAGAAAGGACTTTGAAGGTTGAAAGAATTTATCAATAGTGCCTTATGCTATGAAAGGTCCAGTAGGGTCAGGATGCAAAAGAGGGCTTCCAATTTGATCATTAGTAGATTAATAGTGAGCAGTTACTCCCATTTGTTTTCTTTATTTCTTTTTCTTTTTGGTGGAACTGCTGGGGTTTGAACTCAGGACATTGTGCTTACATAGCAGGCATTCTGCAGTAAGAGTCACACCTCCAGTCCATTTTGCTAGATGGGATCTTGGGAACTATTTGCCTGGGTCAGCCTCAAAACATGATGCTCCTGATTTCGGCCTCCCAAGTAGCTAATTTACAAGCATGAGAAACTGGCACCTGACTTTTACCTCCATTTCTGAAAAATCATAATGTCTTTGTATTTAAGAAGTTTTCACTGATCATTTCCACTTTCCAAAAAGATAGCATTATGACAGTATTTTCTCTTATGGTCTTCTTTCTTCATTGTGTGTATTACCACCTGACATTTTATATATTTGCTTTTGGTTACTCCCCTCTGCCAATTAGAAGAGCAGAAGCTCCATACAATATCAGGTTCTTTGTTGTGTCATTTCTGGATCACTGTCTCCTACAACAGTTCTCTTAATTCTTGTTGAATCAATAATGGACCTATTTTAATATAGTGGTTAAGCCTTAGTAAGTCTGCCTACAATTCAGATAGGGAGTGAAGGAGAAGGTAAGGAGGGACTAAGCAGAGAAAACACCAGTATTTTAAAAATAATGCTACTTAGGACATTTGTCCTAAAGGTCTCTTGGGAGTAGAAAGATTCCTGAAGAATTAAGTCTGTGGTAACAGCATACATTTTTTTTTTTTAAGATAGGAAGTTCTTCTCTGAGAGAACCCATTTAATCTAGCATTTTCTAGACACATCACAAAAAAAAAGGATTTGAGGATGATCAGTGAAAGTAGTGAAAACAAACCATCATATTTGAGGATGATCAGTGAAAGTAGTGAAAACAAACTGTCATCATAAACAAACACTAGATAGGAAAGAAAGTACTAAGAAGTGGTCTTATGGTTGTGTCCCTGTGTCTGTGGGGGATACATTCTAAGACCTGAAACCATAGACAGTATTGAACCCTCTATGTGCTGTGTTTTTCTGTGTATATAAATACCTAAAATAAAGTTTAATTTATAAATCAGGCACAGTAAGAGACTAACAACAACAATTATATAATAGTTATAATCATTGTAATAAGAGTTATGAGAATGTGGTCTCTTGAAAGAGTCAAGACAAATATTTATATTTTTGGATTATAGTTGATTATGGGTAAATGAAACAAAACCACAGATGAGTGATGGGAATTCTTGTATTAAGAAAATGCAAGTCACATTGAGAGACAAGTAGAAGTCTATAGAGAGGCAACTTAAGTATTCTAAGAGTCCAGAGGTGGACTTTTTCTCAGTTGTTTTGGCTGGAATTGTTTTTGCTGAACTAGAGTGCAGGTAGAGTGAAGGGTGAAGGTTGAATGTTGAAATATGTTAAGGGTGAATGTGGAAGGAATGTAAAATTAGCCAAAAAAGGAAAATGTGAGATCTGGAGCTTGTTGTTCAGAAAGCTTGGTAGGTTTTGTAAAAGATCTTGGAAAGAAATGGTATAATGATGTATGCTTCAAAGACGAGTTTTGTTGAGTGTCAAAGGTTGAATTCAAGTGAGCTGTGGTAGAATGTAAGACTAACTAGCAGTGAGCAGATAGACTTGATATACCAGGTATCAGAGCTGTTCTTGTTTTCCAAGATTTTTTTCCTTTGGAGAATGTTGTATTTCATAAGTATAGTATACATTTTAGAGTGTTAAAACTGTCTTAGATAATAGCAGATTCTTTCACATTACCTTTACTGTATTACATAAAAATATATCAGGCCTTATTCAGATTTTGAAGTCACTAAATATTAGCAACTTTTACTAGTCAACAGTATGTGCTAGATAAATTTGGTAAGGGCAGTCTGGCTTCTTGAGAGTTCTAGAATATTAAAGCACTTTATTGATTGGTTTGTCCATAGTTTAACTCTTCTTTCAGCAGTGTTTGCTGTCTGCTCACTTAAAGCAATTGCAAGAGGTTTCATTGTTCTATTTCATATATGCATATGAAGTTCATCAACTATATTCCCTTGCTTTATCTCCTTCATTCACCCTCCCCCCTCCTATAAATACCACCCACCCACACTGTACCTATTTTATAGTCCTGTCTTTCATTATTAAATGAGTGGATATCATCCTCATGTAATAGATGTTAAACTGAATTTACACATATGATTAGTCATTTCCTTCTAGGTCATGTGGTGAAGACTTCCAACAAGAGGAGAGATACCAGACATATAGTGTTTTTTGCTATGAATCCTTATAGATTCTCAGTTCTTTGTATGACATGTGGAAGTGTTTTCATCAACATAGTACATACTGTGTACTTCCGAAGCATTCAGTTCACCAATCCACATTGCTTTAATCATTCTTATATATGAGAAACTTTTTAAAACACTGTAACACCAGTAAGAAAGGTACCTTGTCATCCATGTACATTTCTTGCTAATGTAAGGTGGATTTTATTAAATTCTAGTATATTACAGATAGAAGGGGGCCACATACGTCATTTAGAATAACTAACATGTTTTAAACAAGTGGAATCAGAACCTTAAAAAGGTTAGATTCCTTACCTCAGAACTCATACTTCTCAGTGACAATTCTGAGACTTGAGGTTAGATAATATAAAACAGATTCTAGTGTTTTTTCTACTACCCTATCATTGTCTTTTTATGAATACCATTAGAAAAAAATGTGGCTTTGACTGTAAGACCTAAGCTATTCATCAGGACTCTTTGTTTAGATTTTTTTCAGTAGGTCTTGATAGCAACACAAGTAAACATTGACAAGTTGCATTTTGTGAACTATAGGGCTATGCTCTATGACCAGACAATACAAAAAGAAATTAGAAATTTGTGTTTGTGTTCATTTTAAATGAAGTAATAACTCTTCACAAAGATTTTTCTTTTTATTGAGATGATTGCTTTTTTTTTTCCTTGCTATGTAGCCTAGAACTCTTGATCCTCCTGCCTCAGCCTGCAGAATCCTGGGATTATAGAAGCATGTCACCATGCCTAGTTTAAAATTATTGCTTTAAAATACATTCTTATTTATGTCTTTTAGTGACAATGATTTTTCTTTTTCCTTTAACAATATTTTAAACATACTTGATGTCTTGTGGAAATTAATTCCAAGAATTAGATTTTATTATATATTAATATTCTGATTGCTGCTAACTTGGAAGCTTTCATGTAATAAGGGTTTTGATTCTGAGATATATCAAGTAAGTAAATCAAGTAGATTATGTTAGTTTTATAAGAGCAGTATACTCCACCCTTGTATTACTATTACTTGTTACATGCTTGTAATTAATAGATGCTCACATAGTCACTCAGATTATTTCAGTGTGTGAAATTGATTTTTACCGGTAGTCATTTATTTAATTTTAGTGCTGTGGATTGATCCCAGGACCTCACATATGTTAAATGCACTCTACTACTGAACTACACCTCAATAGCTGCAGCCTCAGTAGTTAATTTTTATAAGATATTGCTTTGTCATCTATTTAATAAGTACATCCCGAAATGTACTTTTAAACAATAAGGTGTATGATTCCTTTAAACATTGTATATTGATGAATTTTAAATCATTGCTTAGTATTTAAAGAAATACACGAAAACTATAAGGAAGCTTAATAGATTATTTGGCGTGTGATGTCCACTTTGACCATCAATTTAGCAAGTCTTAATGAACCTAGTGGATTCCACCTATCAGTATCCAGCTTTTTGGATTGTTAGAGGAGTTATGTGATCCATTAATGAGATTGTTCCCCTTAAGTAACCTGCTACCTGGTATTAGAGAAGGACAGATCAGACAGAGCTTTGCTATTGTATGGTTCACTGTTGAACTCCACTGTGCTGACATTGCCTCTATCTGAGATGACAAATAAGCACTATTCACCAGTGAAACAGGGCCGTGGAGTACTAGAAAAATAGGAGAACAAAAAAGTTCTTCTGTTACTGTATTTGAATGTATTCTCATCATTGTTTATTTTGGTTCACGTAGTTTTCTGTGAACTCACCAAATGCCATAAAATGTATTTTATGTAGTCTAAGTGTACAGTTTTTCATGAGTTTATGTTATTTCTAAAGCAAAATATTTTTCTGTTTGTGTTTCATAAAAAAGAATTTTAGCAATCAGTAAAATATTGAAAGTAAGGGGAAAATATTACAGGCTTACAAAGCACTTTTTGGAAAATTACAGGTGTGAAAATAAATTTAGGTTTCATACATAACTAATAAGTAAATGACAAATTGACTCAGTTATGTTGAGTCCCAAGGAATATGTTTTTTTAAAAAAAATCATTTTAGTAATAAAATTTATTACATTGAGTTACATGGTAGACACATTAGTTTTAATTGAATAGCTCAATTTATTGCTTCTATGAATCTCAACAAAAGTATTATATGTCTAAAATAGTGAAGAGTTCATGTAATGCATGCAGTTGGTAAAACTAGGTTCCCTTATCCTTATATACTTATGTTATATATTATCGGTTGTCTGGTAATAAACAGAATGAGAATTCTTTTTTTCCTACACTCCCTAGATCATCTCAGCAACTCACTTGGCAGATCACCAATGATAATTCTTCCTGTTTTAGAGCTATTATCAATAAGATAAATTTGATTTCTAAATTTTAGTGACTTATAATAGAGTTAGCCTATAAGTTAAGATATGAGAAACTAGTTTGGTTAAATAATTACATGAAAACTAGATAGTTCCAACAATATCAGTTTTCATATTTACCGTGGCCATTTTGATCACTGAAAAGTCAAAAACTTGTACCATTTTTGTTGATAATTTTGCTTGTTTCAAAGTGAAATAAGACATTTTTCATAAGAACTGGCAATTTATTATGAAACAAAGGAAATATTAAAATTTGATGTTCACAATTTGAGCTATAGAAATTATTCTTTTCTGTTCTAGAAAATGGAAGTGTTGTCCAAGTTGGAGAATTGTTGCCTTGCAAGATTTGTGGAAGAACGTTCTTTCCAGTAGCATTAGTGAGTAGACTGATTCTGTATCTTTTCCCTTTGGAACTTAACTTAACAGATCTTTACTTATTTAGTACTTTGGGACAGCTCTCATGGGAAGAATTTATGTGGAATAATTTTTGAAGAGATACTGGATAGTATTCTTGTTCAGGAGTCTCAGTTCCATTTGTGTCATTCTTCCTGAGTGCTCTCTTCAAAATTTGGCTTTGAGGGAATATCACAAGAAGCAAACACATAAAAACAAAGCAAAACATAATGTGATTTGCATACACAAAATGATATAATGTGTGGGATTTGTTTTAAAATAATCCAGGGAAAAAAAGCAGGGAAAGATTAAATATAATCATTAAAATGCTCGTCGTTGTTCAGCAAGATGATAAGCAAATGAGAGTTTATTACTGTGTTCTTTCAATTTGTGTTTGAAATAGTCTAAAGAAAAAGATTTCTTTTTCAACTTATAAGGGCAACTAAAATATATTATTAATTCTTTAGATACTTTTATACAAATATAAGCACTTTTAATCAATTTGAATAAAAATGAGCCAGCTAAATAGGAAATAATAAAAATTATGCCCAGGTACCTTGACTATTTTAACTTCAAATACAAAGATACATTTATTTATTTATTAGTACATTCATGAATTTATTGAGATAAATTTCTTAATATAATTTATTGATAAATGTTTTTAAAATACAGATCTGCAGAGTTTTGGCACTATGTACTGTGTGTATTCGTACTATCTTCAGTTTCTCTTTTAAAGTAATGAATTAATCCAAAATGTTCTTACTGCAGGAACCTTCTGTATAATGCTGGCTTTTTTGTGATACTTTAGAAATATCTTCCACACATTTCATGTTTTTTTTTTCTTATTGCCTATTTTTCAAAGCATTTTCAAACCAGTAAGCTGAGTTTTCACAGGCAAAAGATGCTTCTTTCCCCCTCATTTAATTATCTAGTGTTTAGTTAAGTGATGTTGCTATAAAAACAACAATTTGTATAATCAGTTTGGAAATAAGTACCCCATACACTTGACATATACAACTAAATTCATGTTTACAGATCCACATGGTAGTACTAGAAAGTCACATACTAGCCTCATTTTTATTAAGATTTTATTCTAATAGCTATAATTATAGTGCTTATTTGTGGAAATGAAACTGAAAAAAGTGTATAAGACAGCTGACTAGTAGTTGTATACTGAAAGCATACAAAGTTTATGACATAAAATAGGACAGTTCTGAGGTTTCCTTTTTTTCACAGATGAAGTTTCACAGTTCCAGCACCTTTAACACATACTAGAATATAAAAGAAAATGGTGTATTTAGTGGACATAATCAGTTAATATGCTGTATAATAGAGGGAGAATTTTTTATCTAGTTTAATTGGAAAATCAATTAGGAAATGTTAACTATTTTGTCCTTAAGATGAATGAATGAATGAGTTGCCAAATACCAAATTTAAAAACCTATAGGAATGGAACATTAAATAGCTCTAAATCTTAAATAAAACAAAGGTAGAAAGTTTGAGCTCTAGAAAGAGGAAAGGAATAATTGTGGAGGAAGAACAAAAGTCTTACCACTTTGTCCTATTTTGCATTAACATTATATTAGCCTGCTATGATTATTTTACCTTTAGTAATCCATATTAAGCCTGTTACATAACTTTTGTAGCCCTAAGACTAATGCATTCTTCTCCATTTACATCCTTTTTCTAGTACCTGTGTTATTTAGTGAAGACTTTTTGTTTGTTTGTTTGTTTGTTTGTTTGCAGTACTGGGGCTTGAACACAGGGCCTTCACCTTGAGCCACTCCATCAGCCCTACTTTTGTGAAGGGTTTTTTTTGAGATAGGGTCTCTTGAACTGTTAGCCCTGGCTGGCTTTGAACTGTGATCCTGAGTAGCTAGGATTACAGTCATAAGCCACCAGTGCCCAGCTAGTGAAGACTTTTTCACTTAAGTAGTTTTGCCTTGGTTACATTATTTTTTCTTACTTTTAGCAATGTGAAAACTAGGAGAAGGGTATTAAATAATTCTCAATAAAATTTGGGAAGAGTATTTCTCTAATTTCTTGTTTTGGGAAAGATAACTTACAGCATGCATTATATATAAATTTTAAAACTTAATTGTATCTAAGGCAATATGTACCTTATTATTTATTTTATCTTTTGGTTTTTAATTTGAGTTTGGATATTTAAAGTTATACAGTCTCCCCTTCGGATGAAAAGAAAATAACCTGTTGTATTTCTTTATCTTAACAGAAAAAACACGGACCTATTTGTCAGAAAACTGCCACTAAAAAACGAAAGACTTTTGATTCAAGCAGACAGAGAGCTGAAGGAACTGATATTCCAACAGTAAAACCTCTAAAACCTAGGGTAACTATTTAACTTTTTAAAAAGAACCTTACATGTATTGAAAAGTTACAATTACCTGTTATGCTAACATTAAAGAATAAATTAAAAAATTTTATTTTAATTTAAATTTTAAATTGCAAAGGGGAGCCCAAAGTGCTGTCTGAAACTTCATCAAGGTTTTGTACATTGAAGTTTTCACATCAGTGAGCCAATTGTTTAGTTACAGATTGAAAATAATTAAGATAAATTCCTTCACACATTTTTTAAGTTTGTTAATTACTTCAGCTACAACTTTTGATCTGTTACTATTTCTTGCCAGTAGTACTACATCTTAAATTTATATATTACTCACAGGCATCTGAGCCTAATAGACATTGATTATATTGATTATGTCGACAGATTGATTACCAATATTTGTAATCTATATTACACTTTCTGGGGGAGCCATGCCTCTAGCCCTTTTGCTCTGGGTGTTTTTGAAATAGGGTTTCCCTTTTTGTCCTGGTAGACACAGAATGCAATCCTCCTGCTTACACTTCCCATTCTTACTGAGATGCCATTGTGTGCTGCCCCACCCAGCTTTTTCTGTTTTGATGGGGGTCTTATGAACTTTTTTGCCCAGACTGGCTTGGAACCGTGATCCTACTGATGTCAGTCTCCCAAGTAGCTAAGATTATAGGCAGGAGCTACCATGCCCTGCAAAAGTTTAGCCCAGGCTGTTCTTGAATTCAGGATCTTCCTGCCTTATTCTTGTTTGTCTTGTTGATTTATCTGCTGTGCACCACAGTGACTGGCAACTTTTTGGCCTTAGTGGAGGCTGAACTCAGCCTGGCACTTGCTAGGCAGGTATACCACCACTTAAGCCACTCTTCCAGCCCCATCTTTTTTTTTTTTTTTTTTAAATGGTCTGTGAATAGTTATGGTAAAGATAGTGAAGTTTGAATAAGGTACATAAACCAATATTCAAAAGTTTTTTTTCAATAGTCTGCCAGATATATAATAAACTACCTATATCTTTGAAACAGTATAACCTCTTAGGGATGGAAGCTGACTACAGAGTCAAACTACCTGAATTCAACGCTGGCTGTGCAACATATTATGTTATTTTGGGCAAGTTAATGTATATATGCTTCTATTTACCTGTACAATGGTGACAGAATAGTATCTGTTTTATGTAGGTATTCTGGAGATTGCTCGAAATTATCCTTAACAGTCTCAAATGTTAGTTATATTATTATTTTTTAAGGAAGAAGGGGTTATACTTAATAGTCTTCAGGAGAAAAGCAAGTGAAAAATCATTGCTTTATGCTAAGTAGTTCATCACTTTGCTCCGTCAGGTGTAGTCTACAGAGCAGTAATATCAGCAGTGTCTGGGAACTTGTTACAAATGCAGAATCTTAGTTGCTGCACAGACATACTAAGTTAGCTTCTGCTTTTAACAAAATCCTTGGGTGAGTCACATACACATTCAAGTTAGCAAAGCAACTTCTTAAAAGATTTTAACGTTGTAGTATAATTCTCAAATATATTTGCCTGTATCAAGGAAGTCCTATAAAATTGGAGCAGAGTAGAGGCAAACTAGCCAATTCCAGTTTGTGAAAAACTAAAGCAAGGTATAATGCCCAAAGCAATAGAAATCCAGGCTAAGCTACCCATAAGAAAAGGTGCAGGAGGTTTCTGGGGTCCTGTGGCCCAGATTCTGGGAATCTGCCTGCTTAAAGGTGAGGTATATCTTCTTTAAGGTGATTTCTGAAAGGTGAGAGGCTTTGTCAGAAAGAACATAACTACAGCCAACGTAGGAAATGAGGTAAAGAGCACAAACTTGGATAGCTAGGACCTGGAATGAGCAGGGCTAAAGTTGGACAAAAGCCAAGAGGGAGAAAATAGGGAGTGGAGGGAACAGAAAACTGAACAGGCCCAGTAACAGAAGTTCTCAGAAATCTCCTGAAGATGAGAGGCCCAGCTTAACGTCCAGATCCCTTTTTAAAGTGATTGTGGGAACTGAGGGAACCAGGGCTGGCAGCATTTTCTAGAGAAGAGAAAAGGAAGGTAAATAATATCACAGACAGTCTTATTTGCAGGAAGTAGTCTGTATCTGTTCCAACATAGAAGAGAGCTGCTGATCTGTGTTGCCTAGAAGGCTACTCTGGGCCCCTTCCCCAAAATCTCTTGCAAAAAACCATACCAGGAAGTCAAAACTCATTCAATGGACAGTAATAAGAAATGTGTTAGGTCATATTGATACAAAGATATTGTGGGGAGAAGCAGTAGAAAAGAGCAGCAAACCTTGCCACCAGATGAGTAGTGCTCATTGTGGAGCAGATAACTGATGTGATCAGACACTGAGCTATAAAATGAGGAACTAAGATTTTTGCATCTATATCCATGAGAGAAATGGATCTGTATTTTCTGTTTTCATCAAACTTTTGATGTTCTCACAAAACTAGTTGGAAAGTTGCTCCCTTGTTTTTATTCTCTGAAAAAATTTGTATAAGATTGATGTTGTTTTCATTAAATATCTTCAAGAATTCACTAGTAAGGGCATCTAAGCCAGGAGGTTTTAGTTTGTGAGAAGGTTTTTCATAATAATAAATTCATTGCAAAATACTTGTGATTTTTTTTTTCTGATAGCTGTTTTGTTGATTTTTTAAAATATATGTTCTATTTCATCTTTATCAAATATATTGGCAAAAAATGTCTGTATAATATCTTCTTTTTCATGTAAGAACTGTATCATGTAGTATTTTTCACTCTGGTAAATTTTTGTCTTTTTTTTTCTTTTTTTTATTGTTTTATTATTCATATGTGCATACAAGGCTTGGTCATTTCTCCCCCCTCAATAATAGGAAGAAAAGGTTTTTTGCTAGTTGAGATAAGGATAGCTTTATACAGGCAGTTAACTCGACATTAATTTCCTGTGCAGTGTTGTTACCTTCTAGGTTATTTCTTTTTGAATCTAACCTTTTCTCTAGTTCTGGTCTTCCTCACCTCTATTGACCTCAGTTTGCTTTTAAGGGTATCGCTGTTAGTTTTCTCTGTGTTATGGCAACCACACATGCTAAGCAATTTTTTTAGGCTGTCTAGCTATCTCTCACCCTCCCTGGGTTCAATCGCTTTTATCATGTGCTCAACAGTCCAGTCCCCTTGTGTGTTTTGCCCCTCAATCTTGTCGGCATAATGAGGGAAACATACGATTTATGGTCTGTTTGGCACAGCTAACCTCACTCAGGAATGATGTTCTCGCAATTCCATCCATTTACCAGCGAATGATACATCATTCTCTTGCATGGCTGCATAAAATTCCATTGTGTATAGATACCAATTTTCTTAATCCATTCGTCAGTAGATGGGGCATCTTGGCTGTTTCCATAACTTGGCTATTGTGAATAGTGCTGCAATAAACATGGGGTGCAGGTGCCTCTGGAGTAACCTGTGTCACAGTCTTTTGGTATATCCCCAAGAGTGGTATTGCTGGATCAATGGTAGATCAATGTTTAACTTTTTAAGTAGCCTCCAAATTTTTTTTCCAGAGTGGTTGTACTAGTTTACATTCCCACCAACAGTGTAAGAGGGTTCCTTTTTCCCTGCATCATCCCAACACCTGTTGTTCGTGGTGTTGCTAATGATGGCTATTCTAAAGGGGTGAGGTGGAATCTTAGTGTGGTTTTTAATTTGCATTTCCTTTATTGCTAGAGATGGTGAGCATTTTTCAATGTGTTTTTTGGCCATTTGAATTTCTTCTTTTGAGAAAGTTCTGTTTAGTTCACTTGCCCATTTCTTTATTGGTTCATTAGTTTTGGGAGAATTTAGTTTTTTTAAGTTCCCTATATATTCTGGTTATCAGTCTTTGTCTGATGTGTAGCTGGCAAATATTTTCTCCCTCTGTGGGTGTTCTCTTCAGTTTAGAGACATTTCTTTTGATGAACAGAAGCTTTTTAGTTTTATGAGGTCCCATTTATCTAGCATCTCTTAGTTGCTGTGCTGCTGGGGTTTGTTGAGAAAGTTCTTAGCCTATACCTACTAACTCCAGAGTATTTCCTACTCTTTCCTGTATCAACTTTAGAGTTGTGTGATATTAAGATCCTTGATCATTTTGAGTTAATTTGGTATAGGGTGATATACATGGATCTAGTTTCAGTTTTTTGCAGACTGCTAACCAGTTTTCCCAGCAGTTTTTGTTGAAGAGGCTGTCTTTTCTCCATCGTATATTTTTAGCGCCTTTGTCAAAGACAAGTTGGTTATAGTTGTGTGGCTTCATATCTGGGTCCTCTATTCTGTTCCACTGGTCTTCATGTCTGTTTTTTGTGCCAGTACCATGCTGTTTTTATTGTTATTGCTTTGTAATATAGTTGAAGTCAGGTATCGTGATACCTCCAGCTTGTTTCTTTTGACTGATTATGCCTTGGCTATTTGTGGCCTCTTGTGTTTCCATATAAATTTATGTAGATTTTCAATCTCCTTTAATGAATGTTATTGGAATTTTGATGGGAATTGCATTAAACATGTAGATTACTTTTGGGAGTATAGACATTTTTTACTATGTTGATTCTACCAATCCATAGCATGGAGATCTCTCTTACTTTCTATAGTCCTTCCTCAATCTTTCTTCAGAAGTTTATAGTTTTCCTTGTAGAGGTCATTCACATCTTTGTAAGTTTACACCTAGGTATTTGATTTTTTTGAGCTATTGTAAATGGAATTGTTTTCATACATTCTTTTTCAGTTTGTTCATTTTAGTGTATAGAAATGCTAATGATTTTTCTATGTTGATTTTATATCCTGCTACTTGCTATAGCTATTGATGATGTCAGAAGGCTTCTGAGTAGTTTTGGTCTTTAAGGTATAGGATACATGTCGTTGCAAATAGGATATTTGACAGTTTCATTACCTATTTGTATTCCTTTTATTCCTTCTTCTTGCCTAATTGCTTCTGGCTAGGAATTCCCGGTACTATGTTGATAGGAGTGGAGATAGTGGCATCCTTGTCTAGGTTCCTGATTTAGAGGGAATGGTTTCAGTTT